TGGGGTGGTGCGGGGGGGGGGGGGAGGGGGTTAAAAGGGTATGAGAAAAGTGAAGTGAAAAAAAGAATCGTGCGGAGCGCGGTGGGGACCATTTATCGCGAGTGAGGAGGATCGGTAGACCGAGCAAAAAGGAAGAAAGAAGGTGCTGGTAAAAAATCTCGCCCTTCGGCTTTTATAGAGCTTAATTCGCCGCCATTAAGTTTTAATTGGCCGCGTTTAATCGATCCACCGTTTTAATGTCCCTTGTAACCGCCCCGAATATATACGGGTTCGCGGTAACCATAAACCCATATATCGTGCGAGTAACGATCAACAGTATCAATTTGTATTGCTATAAAATCGCATCGAAATACGTAACACCGTTCCTGCTCTACTTTGATCTTTCATTTTTTCCCAATTGATGCAAAGCTTCTTGCATTTCTTCGAAAGAATATTTAACAAGCCTGTTGGTATACGCTGGCATAACGACAGAATTAAACAGAACAGTTCATTAAATGGAAGTGACGTGAAAAAGGATAGTTGAGTCAGAAAAGTCATTGAAGAGTACACTGTAGGAAGCGCTATTAACTCCTACGTAAAAGTTATAGTCTTTTAGTAATCACATCCTTAAGTTAGTACCGTATTTATTGAAACATTATACGTCCCACCTTTACTTGCTCATTAACGGGCCGTTTTCTCTTCCAAATTGTTCCACTTTTTAAACGACTATAAGGAAGAATTCAACGGAACTACTAGAGATTGCAAATTCTAGATACGATCGAACGTCTAGGAATCGCGATGCGATCAACGATCCCACGAAACCCAAAATACCTCAGACAGACGCCAGTTTACGTATTTATGCGTTTCCTAACATCGGCTCGACCTATGGCCACGTTTCTAACAGCTCGATGAAGCGAAACACGAATAACAGAGGAGAGGAGCGGAGTATCGTGGCGATTTCTAACGCGAGGAGATCGCTGTTGGAACGAATCGCAGAGAATCGTGGCGTGGCATGACACGCAGACTAGGCAGAGAGAAACGAGCGCGTGAGATAAAGAGGAGAGAGAGATGATACACGGACACAGGGAAACAGAGGCACGATCTCTCGCCTCCGTAAGCGCTTCTGTCAACTGTATGTTCGCCGCTGGCTTCGCGGTGCATCCGCATTGCTCACGCGCTGCAGGGCCCCTTCATACCTCGAGTTGCAGCCACGACGCGCAACCGTGTGTTCGCGGTACATGCCGTTTGTCACCATTCAAGACGCTGACGTCGAATACCGAGCGAGTTTCACCCCAACACGACGTCAGGATTCTCCGTCAGCTGCTCCGCGAACATCGCCTAGAAAGACCTCGATACGCTACTCTGTTCACGATATTTTCGATTTCGATCGACCAGTCGCACGACGACCATTTCACGGATTTATATAACGCGGTGCACCTCGGTTAACCGCAGACCGCTGCCACCCTGCACCCTACACCCTCCCGGAGCATTGCGTTTCCGGTGCAAAAAGTAATTAATCCTGCAAGATGTTTAGTTTTTTAACGACGGCGACAGATCGTTACCGCGGTCGAGAACGATACGTAAGGAGTAGCGAAAATCTAACCGAATAGGTAGTGGTTGCTGAAATTACGCAAAGTTTCTAATTCATACTATTCTTAGTATTCTAGGGTTACATTTAGGTTACCGACAACTTCATCGACAATGTTTTCATCAACACAATTTCGCTGACACGGAGTTCGCCGACGATGGACATCGCCTTTTCCCATTAATTATTATACTTATCGTTTACTATCGTTTATGATTATGTATATCTTTATCTACATTCGCTCCTGTTTCTTTCTGTAATCTATGCTTCTAATATTTTCTATGGCTCCGACAGAACTCACTTCTTATGACTAGTCGATGGAAAACATAATTCACAAACAGTAGTAAACATACTTGTATGTGTATTAGAGAATTACGTATCTATATTCATTATGATGTAAACGCGACCAAGAGGCAGACTCTCTGAACCTGAACGAAATCTAATCTTATTTTAAATAGTAATGAATGTGGTTGAAATTAGAACATTTGATTGGCTATACATAATCCCGAATAAAACCTTCACAAAACAATTCAGGGTGATGATCTTGACGATATATTAAAAATTTATGGAAATCGGAGGTAACTAATTGTTTGTGAATACACGTTTATGTTTAGGATGTATCAATGATTTTTCTACTCATCATTTAGTTGCACTTCAACAAAAGTGTGATCGTCTAAAGCGTAAACAGCATAATTGGAAGTTTGCTATTTCTAAACGATCTTCTAACGTCACATTACACATCAGACGTACGCGTCTAACGCTTATAGGAAATACTATCATAAAACTACTAGGACTCAACTTTCATCTAGTCGTTAAAAAAGAGTATAACGTAGTTCCACTGTCTGCCTCAACAACGATGACATCGTCGTGTTCACCTAGATCAAAGTATGCATGAAGGCGTCTCGCGTCACACCACAGCGGTGAGAGAAGCTCGGTAAATCAGTGGTGTGGAGTAACGCGAACAAAAGCTACTTTGACTGGTCACCGGTGGCCTCCCAATTCCTGGCTAAACTATTTAAAAACAGTAGCAGTTGGTACTTTGTCCCGTGGATATACTTGAAAGTGCGGCGAGACAAAGGATACCACTGATCCAATAGAGTCCTTCTGCCGGCCAATCTGCGCAACTACTCGTTATCTTGCAAAATCAACGAGATTATCCTTTAACAGGGCTCGGCCATCTGTGCACTGTCCTAGGCTAACGGCGATTCGTCCGTATAAGGCTACCGCTTGATCGTCTCTAGCTTTGGAACGTGGCGGATTAACGATAGCTGCACGCGAGATCCGATAACGCCGTTCATGTTATAATTATCGTTCCGCTCAGTCAAATTATTCATACCGCGGGCAAAATTTCTAGGGACTTCCATACAAAAGTGGCAACACTAGGTTTCAATAGCTAAAACTTGCGTGAGCCGTTTGTCCAACCGTTCGTAGTAATCGGATTTTTGAATAGTCGTGATGGAAATTGTGGCAACCGGCAGTCTTCTAACAATAATATTTCCAATAACTCTCCTCCATAACTAAATCTACTTTCGAATAACTATTAGTACCCTGCTTCCTTTTTCCTCTTGTTTCGTACTTATCGTCGTATACACGATATAAGAGCATCCCGAGGCGCCAGAATTTCCATTTTCAATCTCTGCAGGACCACTTATTTCTCAATATCGTTTCCTCAAACCACAATGTTAGCCCGTCCCATTAATAATAACAATAACAATAATTCCACCCGTATATACGTTCAGGACCTTGAAACGCAGTGCGATTTCAATTAGGCGATCGTATCTTTGTTCATCGGTATGCCAGTGTCTCGTAACTTGACGGCGTCCAGCCGGACGATATCCGAATCGAGTACGTATCCGTTGCAGGTTGCGTTGCCATTGCCCTGGCAACAGGACCACGGAGCACGTCCGTCATATGCAATAACGTTAAGATAACGCAAGCTTTATAGCGGTACGTATCTGCTGTGTATCGTGGCACGCAACTCGCGCAACTGTCTCGTGATTTCTATGATAACGCGATGCCATGGCCGACGTGGCGCGGCGACCTGCCAGGCGATTACATTTTTTCAAACTTGCCAAACGAAACGACAACCGGTTTTCGGGTTATTGTCCGTAAACCGCGAATCCATGGTCGGAAGCGAGAATTTGCAAAACC